TGTCACTTACTACACTTCCACTCTTCTCTCTGCTTGCTATCGTTCCGGCGATTCTGTCACTGGAAAGAGAAACTATACTTACATGGATGCTGTTAGATCCAACCTTGGTAAATTTTGCTAGTGGTTTGATCTTTTTGGCCATATGAAAGAAAGAAAAAAAAATAGTTAGTCTTTTACCAAAGGTTCTAAAGTTTTGTTCTGTTAACTTTGATTTTCTTAGGTGGAGCTAAGGTCAAAATCTGTGGATATGTTCAGTACTTGAACCTTTTTGGAGTTTCCATTGGCTACACAATAGCATCATCTATAAGCATGATGTAAGTCTGAGTATTTAGAACTCAATTAGGAATCTGGTGATGTTGTTTTAGTGATGTTAAAATAATATTTGGGCTAATGGTTTTTTTCTTCTTCTGGTATTGATTAAACAGGGCAATAAAAAGGTCTAACTGCTTCCACAAGAGTGGTGGGAAGAATCCATGCCATATAAACAGCAACCCCTATATGATTGCTTTTGGCATCACAGAAATTATTTTCTCTCAAATTCCAAACTTCGATCAACTTTGGTGGCTCTCCATTGTTGCTGCAGTCATGTCCTTCACTTACTCAACAATTGGACTTGGCCTTGGAATTGCTCAAGTTGCAGGTACAAATAGCTAGCTTTGCAGCTAACCTTATGATTTAAAATCTGAACTTATTAGTTTTTGGGATTAAATTGGGTTTTACTAAAGATGACTGAAGCTTGCATTTCTGCTTGTCAATTGCCAGCAAATGGAAACATCATGGGAAGCATGACTGGAATAAGTATTGGCACTGTGACTCCAATGCAAAAGATGTGGAGGAGTTTCCAAGCACTTGGTGACATAGCTTTTGCGTACTCTTACTCTCTCATCCTTATTGAAATTCAGGACACAATAAGATCCCCACCATCTGAATCCAAGACAATGAAGAGGGCCACTCAAATTAGTGTGGCAGTCACTACCCTTTTCTACATGCTCTGTGGCTGCATGGGATATGCTGCTTTTGGAGACTTATCCCCTGGAAACCTCCTCACTGGTTTTGGTTTTTATAACCCATACTGGCTCCTGGACATAGCCAATGCTGCTATAGTAGTCCACCTTGTTGGTGCATACCAAGTCTATGCTCAGCCTCTTTTCGCCTTTGTTGAGAAAACAGCAGCACAAAAATTCCCAGATAGCGATTTCATCACGAAAGACATCAGACTCCAAATCCCTGGAATCGGTCCTTACAACCTTAACCTCTTCAGAATGATTTGGAGGACAGCTTTTGTGATCATAACCACTGTGATCTCCATGATCCTCCCCTTCTTCAACGACGTGGTTGGACTTCTTGGGGCTTTTGGGTTTTGGCCACTCACAGTTTACTTCCCTGTGGAGATGTATATTGTTCAAAAGAAGATCCCAAAGTGGAGCACAAGATGGCTTTGCCTCCAAATCCTAAGTGTTGCTTGCCTTATAATAACCATAGCAGCTGCTGCTGGCTCAATTGCTGGGGTGGTCAGTGATCTCAAGGTTTACAAGCCATTCAAGACCAGCTACTGATTTAGCAGAATTTAACCAACTGCCCATTTACTCAGCATTTCCTAAATTAGGGAAGGAAAGAGAATTGGTCATTGGGGTCAATTCTTGTTCATGTTCATATAACAAAGCATAAATTGGTGATGTTGATGTTAGTTTTTGTTGCTTAGTGTCTCTGTGTTGGTTTTTACTGTCTTCAAAAAAAGAAAAGGCGGTGCCATGTACTTATTCATCTGAAATCAAATCAAGAGTACTTCCCATTTCCCAAGTAATTTCTCTGATTTTTCAATGCAAATTAGAAGAAATATGGCAGAAGCTTATTAGTCTTAGTTTAATTTAAAGATCCAATATTTCATCAATCATATTGCCCTGCCACTGATATGTTCATAAGTAGAAAATATGGTACCTTCATAAGAACCATTGAGAGTGCAAACAAACTGTTAAAACCCCACTGATAGAAAGAATTAAACATGGGAAAATTTACCATCCAAAAATTCCATGGAGTGCATGTGCTGCAGACTTGACATAAAGAGATGGACCCCATGAAATCATACTTAAACTAATCAGATAATGTTGTGAAATCTGTCCTTTTCTGCTTTCTGGGAAGATCCAAGATAATGGGTTTTTATTAAAAAACTAAGTACTAAGTACTAAACGCTAAAGAGTCAGCTTTTCACATCTAGGCATCGATATCCATTTAACACAAAGATTCAAGAATGTTTTGGCCTTCAGCCTTTCTTGTACACCAAGTGACCCCAATCAACCTAGCCAATTTAGTCACCTAGCCCAATTCAATATAATGTAGTATGTCCACAAAAATAAAAAAGCCCCAACTGTCCACAATTGCAGCAATTGATCTTGGAAATCTGAACGAGGATATCCTTTTGCAAATGTGAATGTGATCCTTTAAAAAAGTGTTAATTTCCTTTAAGATTGAAATTGCATGTTTTCCTTGCACAGCAAAAGGAAGACAAGTTTAGCTGTGCAGCGTTTCTGGGGTTTTTGCCCCCCTTTATCTTTTAAAAAAGAAAGAAGAAGGAAGAGTAGTTTAACTAGAAGAAGTTTCTGTGATGTAGGTGTGAATGTTCCTTTTAGAAAAATCAAAAGGGACTGCAGACAAATCAAAAGGGTCTGCAGAAAAATCAAAAGGGTAAAGAAAGGTGGAAGATATATTATTATATAGTGGTTGTGCTCATCAAAAGCTTGACTCTTTGAGGTCATGAATGAAGAAGCTTGGTTTTAGTCATTGCTTATGATAGTGCTCTCCGTTCATCCAAATGACAATGCCTAAGTTGACTCTTTGACCCTCCGCTGCGCATATAGGCAGTTGGAAGACTTATATAAGTGGTGGTAGTGGGAAGGGGCTGCTCTTGGCAGCCACCCTAGGGTTGTGGATGGCAAGTGGTAGGGCCTCTGTGTCTGTCTCTATCGTCAAATGCTGCTCAAAAGCTTTTCCTTCTCCTTAGCTTCTGCACTTTAGTGAGTTGTTGTGCCTTGTCGGTGGGTAAAGATTAAAGAAAACAAAAGTGTGGGTTTTGTGTGCTAAATATTGTAATTTATTAGCAATGGAGAACTAGAGAAGAATTTGTAAGATTCAGGAGGAATGTGGAAGGAATTTAGTGTAAAGTTCACTTGGATTAGGTCATGATTTAGTGCAACTAGGCACAAATTTTGATGACGTAAAATTTTCCCAAGTTTGGATTCAATTTTCTAGTTAAATAAGAGTGTTGTTGTTTCCACCCATTTGTTATATTTCCCCACCCACCTTATCTTTAAAAAATTTAAAGACAAATATACCCCTTTGTAAACCAATTTCAGAGCCTACAGATCCAATAATATAATGCTACATGTATTTAAAATACAATATTTTCAAAAATTAAAAATTAAAAAACCAAAAGAAAATTATCCCTCTGTCTCTGCGTTCTCTATCCCTCTCTCCTCCATCTGATATCAACCCAGCCCCAGCCTCGCCCTCGACCCTACCCCCTCCCGTGACCAACCCGCCCCAACACACCAGCGCACCGACCCCCTTCTCTCTCTATTCCAATATCACCTCATGAACCATAAAGTTCCCAAATTCATCACATACAGTATTAAAGGGCAATAACCCAAGAAAGAAAAAAGTGAAGAAGGCAAAAAAAAAAACAACAACAAACGAGTCTAAAAGAAATGCATCCAAACCTTAAATAAGAATGCAATTACAAAAAGTGGAACACAAGTGCCAGACCCGTTGCATAGAATCTGCAATTCAAAAATAGGTGACCATGAATGATTTGATTTCAAAATTGGGGAAGGGGTTAGGTGGCTGTTGGGTGGGTGTGCTGGCTATGGGGAGGAGCCACCGTCAGATTGGGGAAGAGCCTCATTAATTTGCATGAATTAATAAAGGGTGTTTTAGGAATAATGGTGGGTAGAAATATAGAATCGTATTTTTTAAAATTTACATAATGGATGGGAAGATAAGGCGGATAAAGAAATAGGATAGTGAACAGAAATAATAATACTCTTAAATGAATTTAAAATTTTAAATCTGGAGATTCAAGCTTGTGCAGATTCAGGTATGAAATTTTCTTAATCAATTGATAATCATTGCAAAATCAACTTTACCAACCCCACAAACTTGTGTGACCTTGGAGTACTTTTTTATATATAAATAATCTAATCTAATCAAGGAATTTTTTTTTTTCTCTTCTTGTTTTTTCTTTGGTCGTTGAGGAATTAAAGCTTAAAACTTTTTCTTTTAAGTTTCTTGAGCTGAAATTAAAGCTTAAAGCTTCACCTTCCTTGATCCTTGTGTTGGACTTCCAAATCGTTTTACGAGGCTTTTGTTTTCTTGGTCCTAATTACTGAAAGTCATCAGATTTCTTTATCGGCCTAACATAGCATAGGTTTCTAGTCAAAGCCGGCTGTGTGTTTTTATCTTTTTTTGTTTTTTTTTTGTTGTTTTTTTTTTTCTGGTTTATTCTTAACAAGTCGTGTCGGGTCATTCGCAAATTATAATGGATCGTGTCTAGGTCTGGCATTTTTCATCCGTTTAAGTTAACGAGTTGTATCGTGTCAACCCGTTAAGTTAACAAAACACAAACATGATCCGAAACCCATTAACACGACCCATTTGCCAGGTCTAGCTCGAGGTGTGGTGGGATGTCCTTATTAATTATTTCCAGAACTTTTTGATAAATGATTCATTTACAAGTTTTTGGCCAGATGGCTATCCAATATTTCAAAATAAATTTCAAAACAGAAAAGAGTCAGGAATTTGACTACCATCCATGCTTATGAATGTGTTCTGCAACGGCAAGGGTTGTCATATCAAAATGACAATTCAAAGCTGATAATCCTTTAGGCAACTGAAGAATCATCAGGAACTGCTAAATATGGGAAATATTGACAGAAAAACTGTAAATATAAATCTCTCTGGTCAACAACTCATTTATATCCCACAAGATAAAAACTATAGAAGAACTCAATATCACAACAAAAGGGTAGAATATATTGATTTCATCCCACTTTATTTTGTAATATTTCTGTGGCACCATTGATATACAAAACCATAAACATCGGTATTCCTTACCAGGGATTTTACAGATAAAAATGAAGTCTTGTAAATTTGTAATAGATAACGGAAGCGAAATTCAGCCCATCTTGCTTTGTAGCTGCAAACCAGCATTTCCACCAGCACAGCACATGCATCTTCCCTCCCAAGGAGGAACCCTTGTGGATGTTAAACGGATCAAGCTATAAAGAATGAATCATCAAAATTCCTAAGAGAGTTCCTCCTTGTTGAACTTGTTCCAAGCTTCCTGTTTCAGTATAACCATATCAAACATGAAAATAAGCACAAAATAGCAGTCGTTCTAGGGTAAAAGAAAATATCTAAATCCATTTCCAGCGACAATGAATTATGTCAGACAGATCATGCAACATTAATATTAGGGTTTTTTGTAGCAATGGTCCCTCAACTATACTCGGAGTTACATTTTGGTCACTCAACTCCAAAAATAGTTACAAAGGTCACTCAATTAAGTGTTGTGTTGCACCATTAGTCCCTACCGTTAGAGAGACTTGACAGTAGGGACTAATGGTGCAACACAACACCTAAATGAGTGACCTCTGTAACCATTTTTTGGAGTTGAGTGACCAAAATGTAACTCCGAGTATAGCTGTTGAGGAATAATTGCTACAAATAACCCTTATTTATTTAATTTTTGTTATTTCGTTTTTATAAATATTTAGAATGAATTTCCAAGTTTACCCATTGATGAAAGGGACTAGTAATGCAACACCATACATAATTGGGGGACCTCTGCAGCTATTTTTGGATTGAGTGACCAAAATGTAACTATGGGTATAGTTCAGGGACCATTGCTACAAAAAACCCTTAATATTAACATAGAAATGAATAATTTTATTAGAAATCTTCTAGATTGAACTGCCATCACTTTCACGGTACAGTCACACAACTTAAAAGTACAGCA